ACTCAAATTTTACCTTTTAAGGTCCTGTTTCTCAAATGCCAGATTGTTTATGAAAATTTCATAAACAATAAACTTCTCATAAAATTAGGTGTGTTTTCTCCCTGATGTCCTGTTGCAAGATCCTTTGCTTAATCCCAAAGGGCTAGCTAGAGATTCTTTCTATCACCATAGTAGATATCCAGGGCCAATGTATTCTGGGAAAGTTTGTGAAATGAGTTATTGGAAGAAGACATGAGATATTCATGTGGAAACTGATATATACAGGTGCAGGTGGTAAGAAGTCCACATTTATGGTGAAATGAGTGGGAAAGTTCTCCATATCTAAACCAAGCTCCATTTCTGGATATTACCCCAGAGGCCCTAGGAAAGTTTCTTCTTTATTCTGCTTATCCTGGCTCTGCCCAGGTAGCAAAACCAATGCAAAAATGTTCTCCTATGTTTTATCCTAGTTCACTTTAATACTTAGCCTTTAATATGAAATTTATTTGGGGGTGCAGTGTGATCTAATTTTCTACAAGTCAAGTTTTTCCAGCTCCACTCAAATAGAATGACCCAATTCTATTTTATTGTGCAGTGATTCTTCTGTTGATTGATTTTGGGGTTAAGTTTATATTACTTTAATTATTGTAACTCCATAATAAATTTGAATTTTATACAAGGCACATCCCTTTAATATTTTTGTTTGTATGTAAAACACATATTAACTAGATGTTTGTTACTCCAGATAAATTTCAATATATTTTTATCTCTGAGTATAACCTAAAAATTTATTACAGAAAAATATCATCTTTATAGTAATTAGCATTATCATTTAATGTGAATTTTTATTCTTTAGCAAAATTTTATATACACCTAATATGTTTCTTATTGAGGTCATTTATAGTTACCTTTATTTTCTTAATTTCCTCCCATTAAATTAGAAGAATGATTATTCACTTGTGAATATTACATTTTTATTCAGATTCTTAAGTAATATTTCAATTCTAGTAAACTTTCAGCCAATTCCCTTGAGTTTCTAAGTAGAGAACTGTTGAAATAAAAGTGGCTTTTCTCACTTTTATATTTTGTTACATCTATGTTTTCTGACTTCTTATTGTAATTCACTAGAACATAAAAAAAGGAAATAAGGATCAGAATAGGAATCCTTACTAATTCCTATTTGAATGGAAATTTATTTTAACTGTTGTATTAAGCACCAGTAAGTGTGAGATTTTTATCAATTGTCTTTTTCAGTGTTTCATGAGATGACTATGAAGTCATTTTTCTTTCAAGTTCTTTTGGCTTTCACATTTGGGTCAATTTTGGTAATTTATATTAGCAAATCAGTTTTTCTATTCTCGCTATAATTTCTAATTTTAATCATGTTTTCTTTCTCCTTAATTGAATAGAAATTTGTTTCTAGATATGTTTCTATATATCTAAAATTCTATAAATAAATATTTATATATATTTACTATTTCTGTTACTTAATAGATTTCTGTTTTTATCCTTATACTTTTTTGTTTCTGAATTCTATGCATTCTTCATTATTATTTATTTTAAGACTTTTTTCATTGAGATATAATTCACATGTAACAATGTATTAATTTCAGTACAACAAAATGATCTATATTTGTATATATCGCAAAATGATGAACACAGTAAGTCCAGATAACATGCATCATCATAGTTATAATTTTTTCCTTGTGATGAAAACTTTTAAGATCTACTCTTAGCAACTTTCATATATACATTATTATTAACTATAGTCATCATACTGTACATTACATACTCATGACTTATTTATTTTATAACTGAAGTTTGTATGCTTTGGCCACCTCCCATTTTGTCCACCCTCCCAACCTCTGGCACACCAATCTTTTCTCTGTATCTGTGAGTTCCAATTTTATTTGTTTTTTAGATTCCACATATAAGTGAGATCATATGGTATTTGTATTTTTTCTCACTTATTTCACTTAACACAATGCCCTCAAAGTCCATCCATGTTGTCACAAATGGCAAGATTTCCTTCTTTTCTATAGCTGAATAATATTCCATTGTATATACATACACAACCTCCTTATCCATTCATCTATCATTGGACACTTAGGTTACTTCCATGATTGGCTATTGCAAATAATGCTGCAATGAACATGGAGGAACAGATATCTTTTCCAGTTAGTATTTCTGTTCCTTTCAGTTAGGTACTCAGAAGTGGATCATATGGTAATTCTATTTTCAATTTTTGAGGAAAGTCCATACTGTTTTCTATAGTAGCTACACCAATTTACATTCCCACCAACAGTACACAAGTGTTCCCCTTTCTCTGCATCCTTGCCAACACTTGTTATTTCTCATCTTTTCAATAATAGCCATTCTAACAGGTACAAGATACTAACTCATTGTGGTTTTGATTTGCATTTCTCTAATGATTAACAATGTTGAATACCTTTTCATGTACCTGTTGGCCTTCTGTATATCTTCTTTGGAGAAATGTCTTAATTATATCCTCTACCCATTTTTAAATCATTTTCTAGTGTTGTTTTGTTTTGTTTTACTATTGAGTTTTTAAAAATACATTTTGGATATTAACCTGTTATCAAATACATGATTTGCAAATATTTTTCTCCCTTTCAGTAGGTTGCCTTTTCACTTAGTTCATGGTTTCTTTTGCTGTGTAGAAGCTTTTTAATTTGATGTAGCCCCACCTGTTGTTGTTGTTTGCTTTTGTTGCCTTTGCTTTTGGTGTCAAATGCAAAAAGTTGTTGCCAAAACCAAAGTCAAATAGCTCATCCCCTATGTTTTCTTCTAGTTTTATGGTTTCAGTCTTTGTTCAAGTCTTTAATCCATTTTGAGCTAGTTTTTGTGTGTGGTGTAAGATAATGGTCTAGTTTCATTCTTTTGTGTGTGACTGTCCAGTTTCCCAACAACATTTATTGAAGAGACCGTCATTTTACCATTGTATATTCTTGGTTATTTTGTCATAAATTAATTCATTATATATATGTGAGTTTATTTCTGGGCTCTCTATTCAGTTCCATTGATCTATGTGTCTGTATAAAGGCAATACCATACTGTTTTGATTACTATAGCTCTGTAATATAGTTTGAAATCAGGACGTGTGATGCCCCCAGCTTTGTTCTTCTTTCTCAAGATTGTTTTTGCTAATCAGGGTCTTTGTGGTTCCATATAAATTTTAGGTTGGTTTGTTCTATTTTTGTGAAAATGTCATTGGAGTTTTGATGGGAATTGCATTGAATCTGTAGATTAGTTGAGCAATATGAAGGTTTTAACAGTATTAATTCTTCTAATCCATTAGCATGAAATATCTTTTTGTTTCTCTTCTTCAATTTCTTTCATCAAGGCCTTAAAGTTTTCTGTGTACAGGTCTGTCACCATCTTGGTTACATTTCTTCCTAGGTATTTTGGGGGTTCTTTGGATGCAATTGTAAATGGGATTGTTTTCTTAATTTCTCTTTTTCATAGTTTGTTATTAGTATAGAGAAGTACAACAGGTTTTTGTATAAAGATTTTGTATCCAGCAACTTTACTGAATTCATTTATTCTAATATAGTGTTTTTGGTAGAGTCTTTAGGATTTTTATATATCATCTGCAAATAGTGACAGTTTTACTTCTTCCTTTTCAATTGGGATACCTTTTATTTCACTTATTTATTTATCTAATTGCTCTGTCTAGGACTTCCAGTACTATTTTTTTGTTATGAATTTATTTATATTTGGCCGTTTGGGGTCTTTGTTGTTTTGCGTGGGCTTTCTCTAGTTGCAGCAAGTGGGGACTACTCTTTGTGGTGCATGGGCTTCTCATTGCGGTGGCTTCTCTTGTTGCAGAGCACGGGCTCTAGGTGCATGGGCTTCAGTAGTTGTGGCACGCAGGCTCAGTAGTTGTGGCTTGTGGGCTCTAGAGCACAGGCTCAGTAGCTGTGGTGCACGGGCTTAGTTGCTCCATGGCATGTGGGATCTTCCCAGGTCAGGGCTCAAACCTGTGTCCCCTGCTTTGGCAGATGGATTCTTAACCACTGCACCACCAGGGAAGTCCCCAATACTATGTTGAATAAGTGGCAAGAGTGGGCATCCCTGTCTCATTCCTGATCTTAGAGGAAAAGCTTTCAGCTTTTCACCATGGAGTATGTTAGCTGTGGGCTTGTTTTATATGGCTTTATTATGTTGAGGTGTGCTACCTCTATACCCACTTAGTTGAAAGCTATTATTATAAATAGATGTTGAATTTTGTCAAATACTTTTTCTGCATCTATTAGACAAGCATATGATTTTTACCCTTCATTTGTTAAAGTGGTATATCGCATTAACTGATTTGCAGATGTTGAACCATCCTTGTATCCTTTGAATAAATCCCACTTGATCATGGCGTAGGATGCTTTTAACATGTTGTTCAATTCAGTTTGTTAATACTTTGTTGAGGAGTTTTGCATCTATGTTCATCAGGGATATTGGTCTGTAATTTTCTTGTGGCATCCTTGTCTGGTTTTGGTATCAGGGTAACATTGGCTTTGTAAAATGAGTTTCAAAGGGTTCCCTCCTGTTCTGTTGAGAAAGGCTGGTAATAATTCTTCTTTAAATGTTTGGTAGAATTCACCAGTAAAGCCATCTGCTCCTGGACTTTTGTTTGTTGGGTGCTTTTTATTACTGATTCAGTCTCCTTAGTAGTAATAAATGTGTTCAGATTTTCTATTTCTACATGCTTCAGTCAGTGGATTGTGTGTTTCTAGGAATTTATCCATTTCTTCTACTTTGTCCAATTTGTTGGTATACAATTGTTCATAGTAGTCTTTTATGATCCTTTGTATCAGTTGCAACATCTCCTATTTCATTTCTGATTTTATTTATTTCAGTCCTTTCTTTTTTCCTTGGGGAGTTTAGCTGAAGTTTTTTCAATTTTGTTTAACTTTTCAAAAAATCAGCTAATAGCACTGCTTTTTTTTCTAGTCTCTATTATTTCATATATTTCCTTTCTGAACTTTGTTATTTCCTTTCTTCTACAGGCATACCTCAGGAGATTTTGTGACTTTGGTTCCAGATCACTGCAATAAAGAGAATATCACAATAAAGTGAGTCACATGGATTTTGGGGTTTCCCAGGGCATATGGAAGTTATGTTTACACTCTATCTTAGTCTATTAAGTGTACAATAGAATTGTGTCTTAAAAAACAAAGTATATATCTTAATTAAAAAATACTTTATTGCTAAAAAATGCTAAACATCATCTGAGCCTTCAGCAGGTTATAATCTTTTGCTGGTGGGGATTTAAAATATTGTGAGAATTACCAAAATCTGACACAGAGACACAAAGTGAACAAATGCTTTTGGAAAAATGGCACAGATAGATTTGTTTAGTGCAACATTGCCACAAACCTTTAATTTGTAAAAAATGCAATATCCACAAAGTTCAATAAAGTGAAGCTCAATAAAATGAGCTGTGCCTGTACTACCTTTGGGCTTCAATTGTTCTTTTTCTAGTTCCTTGAAGTATAAAGTTAAGTTGTTTATTTGAGATTTTTCTTATTTCTTGGTCTAGGCATTTATCACTAGGAACTTTCATCTTAGAATGGCTCTGCTGCATCCCATAAGTTTTGGTATGTTGCTTTTATATTTTCATTTGTCTCAAGATTTAAAAAATTTCTCTTTTGATTTCTTCTTTGACCTTCTACTCAGCAGCATGTTGTTTAATTTCTACATATTTGTAAATACTCCACTTTTATTTAAAAAAAAATTTTTAACATCTTTATTGGAGTATAATTGCTTTACAATGGTGTGTTAGTTTCTGCTGTATAATGAAGTGAATCAGCTATACATATACCTATATCCCTATATCTCCTCCCTCTTGCATCTCCCTCCCACCCTCCCTATCCCACCCCTCTAGGTGGACACAAAGCACTGAGCTGATCTCCCTGTGCTATGCAGCTGCTTCCCACTAGCTATCTATTTTACATTTGGTACCACTTTTATTCTTGTAATTGACTTCTAATTTCATACCAATGAGGTCAGAAAAGATGCTTGATAGGATTTCGGTCTTCTTAAATTTATTAAGACTTGTGTTGTGGCCTAACTTATGATCTCTCCTGGAGAAAGTTCCATGTGCCCTTGAGAAAAATGTGTATTCTGTTGCTTTTGTATGGAATGTTCTGAAAATATCTGTTAAGTCCATTAGATCTAACATGTTGTTTAAGGCCAATGTTTCCTCATTGATTTTCTAACAGGATCATCTATCCATTGGTGAAAGTGGGGTATTAAAGTCCCTTACTATTATTGTACTATCTATTTTTCCATTTAGGTCTGTTAATATTTGCTTTATATACTTAGATGCTCTTATGTTGGGTGCATAGATATTTATAAATGTTATATCCTCTTCTTGAATTGAGCCCTTTATTATCATGTAATGACCTTCCTTGTATCTTTTTAAAGTCTTTGTCTTAAAGTCTATTTTGTCTAATACCAGTATGCTGCCCCAGATTTCTGTTGGTTTCCATTTGCATGGAATATCTTTTTTCATACCTTTATTTTCAGTCTGTGTGTCCCTATATCTGAAATATGTCTTCTGTAGGCGACATAAAGATGGGTCTTGATTTTTATCCATTTAGCTACTCTATGTCCTTTGATTTGAAAATTTAGTTCATTCACATTTAGTAATTATTGATAGGTATATACTTATTGCCATTTTGTTAATTGCTTTCTGGCTGTTTTGTAGTTTCTCTGTCCTTTCTCCTCTTGCTGTATTCCTTTTGATGGTGATGTTCTGTAGTGCTATGCTTAGCTTCCTTAGATTTTTGCCTTGTGGTTAACATGGGGCTCATGTAAAACAACTTATAAGAGTCTATTTTAAGTTAATAACAACTTAAGTTGGAATGCATCCCAAAGCTCTATGTATGTACCCTCACACACATTTTATGTTTTTAATGTCTTAATTTACATCATTTTATATAGTATATCATTAACTAATCATTGTAGTTATAGTTATATATACTACTTTTGTCTTTTAACCTTCATACTAGACTTATAAATGATTAATGTACTACTTTACAACATTAGATTATTCTGAATTTTACTATATATTTACCTTTACCAGTGAGATTTGTATTTTCATATATTTTCCTGTTACTCTTTACCAAGCACCTTTCATTTCAGCTTTAAAAAGTCCCTTTAACATGCTTTGTAAGGCTGGTCTAGTGGTGATGAACTCCTTTAGCTTTTGCTTGTCTGGAAAACTCTCCTTCAATTATTAATGACAAATTTTATTCTTTTTATAGGTAGTTAGGTGTAAGTCTTTTTTTGTTTCATTTCTTTTTAGTAGTTAATTTGGGATATAAAGTTACTTTTACTATACCTTTGTCATTCTATACCTTTTGATATGGTAGTATCATTTTTATTATTGTATAAATTGTCACTGCTGTTGTTTTAGATTTTCTCTTTGTTCTTATGGTTAGAAAATTAAGTTTTAGTTCCCATGGTTGGGATTTGCTTTATTTTATTGTGTTTTAATGTTTAACTTTTTTACATTATGGAGAATTATAGATTTTAAGGTTTTATTTAAGGTTGAAGAGATGATTGATTTTAGCAAATGTCCCTTGACAAAATATGAAAGTCTTTCTTTCCTTTGTAGGATAGGAAGTTAGTTATATCTTTTTATTTAACTTTATTTATTTACGCAAAAACCTTTTATTTCTTCCTCTTCTTGTTTGTGTGCTTCATCTGTTAAAGATTGAAAGTTATCTGTTATATCCCCCACTATAATGTTTTCAGTAATTTGTGCTTTTTATTTGTTTGTGTATGTCTATCAACCTCAGAGGCAAAGGACTGAGTGAATCACACACCTCAATACACAGTGCAGAATCACTGATGGTCCTGTAAGGCCCTACTCTCTTTGTTTGATTTATATATTTATTCCTTTTAATCCTCATTTTCTATTCCACCTGTTCCCCTCCCACATCCCAAGTTCAATTCTAACTAGTTTGGCAGGTGTCCTTTGGTTTGTATATATGCCTGTGAAACATGAATTGTTTTATGTACATTGTTATTTTTTAATTTTCATAAATGGTAACATAAATTACATCTGCACCTGTTTCTCACTTTTTCACAAAATACTGTGCTTATATGACTATCAATTTTGTTGTTCAAAATTGGCTTGGTTCTCATTAGTAGTATGTATGTATCTACCATGTTTATCCATTTATTCTATCAACAATGGGCACCCAGATCATGTTCAACTCCCTGCAACAAATCTGCATAAATTTCCTTATATATTTCCCCTTACAGACCTTACAGACTTACTTCTTATAGAGGCAAGAGAAGGATACCCAGATGGAAGGATATCAATATACTTAATTTAACAGATTTCTCAGAAGCATTACACAGTCTGCACTTCCACCAGCAAGGCATGAAGATCCCTATGTCTCTAATTCCAGCCAACATTTGGCCTTATCCAGCTTTCTAATTTTTGACAGTCTGAAGGGTATAAAATGATATCTCATTTTATTTTTCTGATTATTAGTTAGTCTGAGTGTATATTTAAAGGTTGAGGCCTTTTAAATTTCACTTTTTATATTTTGCTTGCTTTTGCCTTTTGCCTTTTTGGAATTGCTATTCTTCTTTTGTCTTGTTCATTTGCAAAGCTTCATTTACAGTCTAGACCAAGGGTCAGCAAATCTTGGTCTCTGGCCCAAAACTGACTTGCTATCTCTTTTCATACAGCCAACAGGCTAAGAATGAAGTTTACATTTTTAAATGATAGGGTAAAAAAATGAAGAGAATAATAATACTTTGTGACCCATGAAAATTATATAAAATCAAATTTTAGTGTCCATAAATAAAGTTGTATTGAACGTAGCCATGCTCATTCATTTACGTATTGTATGTTGCTGGCTTTATGCTACAATGACGGAGTTTAGAGTTTAGTTCCAACAAAGATTATATGACTCACAAAGCCTAAAATATTTACTAGCTATCCCTTTATGGAAAAAGTTCACTGACTTCTCACCTGAAAGAGTCTCTGATTGATTTCAGACATTGTTAATTTTGCCATCATGTTCCCTAATCAATAGCCATTATTTTGATATAATCAGGTTAAGCAATTAAAAAATTTTTGTCTGATATTCCATGCTTTAAGATTGTTTAAAAAGTTCATTTCCACTCCACTGTCACAAAGATAGTTTCTCACATCATCGATAATTAGTTTTATAATTTAACTTTTACATATAGGTATTTTATAAACCATGATTCCATCTTTGCAAATTATATTAACAAATGAACTTATTTGAATTTTTCTCTGTATAGTGAACCAACTTTCCCCAAAGCATCTAATAAATTATCTGTTCCTTCCGTTTAGTACATTAATGTATGATGCCATCTTTATCATGTGTTAAGTTCCTATATGTTCGTGGGTCTGTCTCCAAGCTTTCTCTTTTGATCCATCTGTCCATTTGTCTATTTACTGGTTATTATATAATAACTGGAAAAGCAAGTGTTCATCTTTGCTTTTTTTAATGTAGGTCAACTTAGTTATTTGCAAACTTGTATTTGTTCATGTAAATTTTAGAATATTTTTGGCTTTTTCTTTAAATATTCCACATGGATTTTTTTTGGATTCAGTTGAGTTTATAGATGAAATTGTGGAGAACTGATATTTTTATAATGCTAAGTGGACTTATCCATAGAACAGAATATACTCCATTTATTCAGGTAATTATCTACATACTTCAGTGAAGTTTTGTGTCTTCTTTTTTTTTTTTTTCCTTCCGGTACGCGGGCCTCTCACTGTTGTGGCCTCTCCCGTTGTGGAGCGCAGGCTCAGCGGCCATGGCTCACGGGCCACGACGCTCCGCGGCATGTGGGATCTTCCCAGACTGGGGCACGAACCCGTGTCCCATGCATCGGCAGGCAGACTCTCAACCACTGTGCCACCAGGGAAGCCCTTGTGTATTCTTGATAAAGAAAATGCCTAGGTACCTTAAGTTTTTCTTGCTATTGGAAAGATATATACGTACTGTATTTTATAGTTTGTTTTTGCTGTTATAGAGAATGCCATTGGTTTTTGTATATTGAGTTTGTCTCTGTCAACCTTGCTGAACTCTCTTACTCTTCCTGTTTTTTAATTTAGTTGGTTTGTCTAGGTAGATGATGAGATTATCTGCAAACAACATTTTTATATCTTGCCTTACACTTTAGTTCCTCCTCCTCATCATTGTTGTTGCTGCTATTATTATAATACTTTATAGTATTGGCCAGGAGTTCTGGTACTATGTTAAATGACACTGTTGTCGGTGGACATCCTTGTTCTTTAAAATGGAGTAACTTTTAAGTTTTCCTGTAAATGTTCTGTTTATCATAGTTGGGTTTTCTGTGTGTGGGTGTTAATATAAACTTTAACAAGTTAAGGTGGTCTCCTTCCATCCTAGTTTGTGATTTTTTTTCTAATTTGGAAGTTTTTCAAAAAATTTTTGTCTTTATTGAGGCAATCACATTACTCCCGCCTTTTTATGTGGCAACTTACATTGTCATTTTTTTATGAGATATTATTCACATTTCATAAAAATCACTTTTAAAGTGTACAGTTGGGTGGTTTTTAGTATATCTATATATCTGTGAAACTACTACTTCAATCTAGTTCTA